TTTATTTCTAATTAAATTTATTTCCTATTTCACTACCACCACCACCAACGCCACCATCGCTACTGCCACTACTGCCACCACTATTCCATTGTTTGGTTCATCACTTTGTCATGGGAATACTATTCCTAGAAATGACCTATTCCCTTTAAATATTATTTTATTTCTAATTAAATTTATTTCCTATTTCACTACCACCACCACCAACGCCACCATCGCTACTGCCACTACTGCCACCACCACCGTCGCCACCACCATCATATCACCACCACATATTTTTATAAGAGTATTTATGTCTTTTAAAACATATTCATTTCTATTCTTTTTTCTCTCTGCTGGGGTCCTCCCATTGCTCTAGCCATAAGCTATGGCAGCTCCAGCTCGCAACCACAGGGGCCCGCCCTGCGAGGCCAGAGTGGGCTCAGCGGTCAGCCTCCATTCGAATTATGTTAGGGGGTCTTTCACTTTTGCCAGATCTAGAGAGATACTACAAGTCCTCCGTCCCAGATTCCATCGCCGCGGCCATCTGGTTCACCGGTACTACCAAAAAGTCTCATGCTTACGTTTCTGTTATTGATGGTTTGATTATTTTGGACCACGAAGACCCCAGTCGTGCTTCTGGTTTCCATTCCAATCATCATATTGATGATAAATCTCCTCGTGCTTTAAACCAACAAAACACTGTAATATAATTATTAAAGTCTATTCCTTCCACGAATCAAACAATACAATTCCTATTCTATTCCTTGCGTATTCCATTTCTTATGGAATAGTATTTCTATTACCCAAAATTCATTTCGTGAACTAAACGTGCCGTAAATAATAAGACCAAAAGTGAAAAATATTCGTTAGGATATGCTCATAATTTTATTTTTTATTTTTTTGCAAATGTATTTCCCCTATACTAATATTTAGGAGTTGCCAATTACCCCTCAAAAATGGCATCCCTTATTAACCATTGATCTCAAATCATGTGGTTAAATTTTTTTGATATAACATTTAGATTTATTTTTGTTATCAAATGCCCTCAAATTTTGAGTGAATTACAACTTTACCATTCTATAGCTCACTTCTAGACAAAAGTTCCTTTCACTTTCCCTTCTACTTTTTCTTTCTTTTCTTTCATGTTTTTATCTTCTTTTGAGGATAGCTCCATGTGGCTATTAGAGCATCTCCAATGTGGCGGTATATCTGCAAATTCCAACGCCATCCCTCCATTTTCTCAAAATTTTGCTCTCCAAAGTGAAGATGCAAAACGCCATATCGCCAATATTTTTGGCGTTGATGAACAGTGCCACGCCATATATGGCGTGGCACTGTTCATCCACGGCAAATCTAAAATGGGGAGTAAAGTTATCATTTTGCCCTTGTTTTTTTTTTTTTTAATAATTACAAACATATCATTTATTTGTTTTATATATAATTTTTTTATTTTGTTAAATACTTATATTTAAAATTTGTATTATTAAATATAAATTATACCATTTTAAAGATCTTATTGAGACGATCGAAACAAGACTAATATTGAATATATATATATATATATATATATATATATATATATATATATATATATATTTGTAATCGCTAATTTGCTACTACTTGGTTTAAACTATAATATTCCCAATGCTCATATGGTTAAACCGTTCTATCAAATGTAAGTATTCATTTTCAGTTTAAGTTTAAATAATTTAGCCCGCCTGATAAGGCCGACAACCCGAGATTTAGAATTACAACTAACTCGAATCTAAAAATAAAATAATAATATAACCGATAACCTGAATCTGATAAGCACGAGAACTTGACATGGTTAGGCTGAAACCAAGTGGAACAATTCTACACCACTATGGGTCTACACCACAAGGAACCCCCTCACTTTAAGAGGTTGCTCCCACACTGTGGCTGGTGAGATTTGATCCTGGTCATTTTTCTAAATTTTCACTTCTATGACCAGTTGAGCTACCATGCCGGCTAATTAGCAGGATTATTTGCTTTGAATCGATCTGATGGCTGTCCATGAATTCTTAGGAACTGCTATGGTGTTCTTGAGAGGAGGGTCCACATGATGGCTTTCACTTCTATGACCAGTTGAGCTACCATGCCGGCTAATTATCAGATTATTTGCTTTGAATCGATTTGATGGCTGTCCATGAATTCTTAGGAACTGCTATGGTGTTCTGGAGAGGAGGGCCCACTAGATTATAGTTCAGAGGATCCTTAATCTTGTCGAAATTACCAAAACCCCATCCCACAACGTAGAAACTATATCCATGCAAGTGCATTGGATGGTCGATCCCCGCCACTAGATTTGTCCCCTGAAGACAATCTCCACCGTCGGCCCATACTCTAGAACCTTCACTTCCGTTTTCCGGTTCGGCGTCTGTAACACCGCTGAGATATTATTAGCCAATTCGAAGACCATTGATAAGGATAGAATTTGTTCATGGCTGCGTTCACAATTCGAAGTAGGTACGTCTTGCCATACTCCACCACTAGCCTAAATGTATCTGTCATTACAAAAAAAAAAAAAAATCATTAATTATTCGTGATGTAATATAATATTGTCATCCAACTAATTGGTAATTACAAAGTTATAAGTTTTATGATCAACCTAACCTAGTTTTATTTTAATGGGTTTTTTTTTTTTTTTTTTTTTTTTTTTTTTTTTTTTTTTAAATTCAAAGGAAAAATTGTATGAAATACCTTTTTTGGAGCAAGGATAGAATTCTCCAGGTTGACCATTGATAAGAAAAGCATCGGAGGCGTTAGGATCTCCGCCGTTGGTAAGAAACTCATTTAGAACCGCTTGTATTTGACTCTTCCACCACTCCACTGCATTGAAAAACATTTGTTAGAATTAGTGACCACATTTTCATTAAATAATAGAGAATTATTTCTACTTTTGGTCATATGAATACAATGTCATTTTCATATTTAATCTCTAACTATTTTTTGCCACATTTTAAATATAATTAAAAGAAAGGTAGTCTTTCTAACAAGATCTCCTATAGTAAATAGGCATAATGCACCATATTTGTACTTTACAACTATACTATCTTGATTTACAACTCGGCTAACTCGATCGAAATGGACGAGTTAACTCGGCTAACTCGATCGAAATGGACGAGTTAACTCGGCCGAGATAGGCGCTAGGCGAGCGCCTAGGCAACTGATCGCCTAGGGTGATAATTGTCACGGCCTATAGTGGCGCCTAGATCAATTTTTGCAACATTGCATATAATTACGGAGTATTATATAAAATATAAATATGTAATAAATGAGAATATGATCCTCCTATAAAACTCTGGCACATTAAGTATATTAACATGACGCACATTAAGTACAAATCTCAAGCATATTGAGCATAACACGCACGCACATTAAGTATAAACCTCACGCACATTAATCCACCGCACAACCACACGAGAAGCAACAAATGCACCTGATCCCTTCCATATATATATATATATATATATATATATATATATATATATATATATTAAAATTTTAAATACATCAAACATAACTAAAACATAATAGCCAGTAACTTTCAAAAAAAAAAAACTAAAACATAATAAAAATTAAAATATATATTATTATTCTAGAATAAATTAAATTTTCAAAAATATTGTTAAATTTTATTTTTCAATAATTAATGTTATAAAAAATTAATATTAATAAAAATTATTATTTACATCACAAGTTATATTTTATATTAAACTTATTAAGTTCGAACAAAATTATATTAGACTAATTAAATTCGAATTAATAGTTGAGAAATTAAATTATTTTAGTGTAGAAATTTGGTGTTTTGGTGTAAATGGATTGAAGATGAATAAAATTTGGTGTGAGAAGATGCTGAGAATATTCCTTCTGATGTGACATTTGGTGAAGAAATTTGGTGTTTTGGTGTTAAGTGGGTTAGAGATGCTCTTATATTGTTACCATTTTCCCCTTCATTTTTCCTTTTTTGTTATTTGTTTTCTCTCTCCAAAATTGAACCGAAACCTATACATTTTTTTTAAACCACCTATACATTTATTCTTCCTCCTTTCTTTTTTTAACTCTTGCGAGAGTCACTTTGTGTATATTTTTAACTGCAAAAAATCTTAAATACAGAATGTCAAAATTGGGTTACAAACCTGCAATAACATATTCGTTATGACACTGAAAGACATTATTATTAATATTATTTCTAAATATTATGATCGATCAGAAATTAGTTGTATGTATTTCTAACAGTACTTTTATGATTTGCGACTCAACCTCTATATTCAAAATCACCTACATTTATTCAGAGAAGTTTATTCAACTTCTCTGTTCTCATAGTTGAATCATTTCTCCTAGAATGCACCATTGACTGCATGTCAATTGAATCATCAAATTTTCTATGTCATGTGGGAAGTACATTAAGTTTAATATATTTCTGTATGAACACAATCAGATATTCAAATTCCACCACAATCAATAATAAAAGATTCTAAGAATGTTAACAAATTATTAGGTAGGAATTGGTCAGCATCAAAGGGGAACAAGAATGTGAGGTAGAAAATTTTGTAGAGGGGTTGGAAAATAAGACAGAAATGTTCGTTGCTAAAAGATCTAAATTTAGAGTTCGATGATGCAACATTAGGACTAAGGAAAGTGTGCTCTCGCTATTTGTAGAGAATTGAAAGTTTGAAAAAATGATGACTTCTTCCTCCATTTCCCTGCAAGTTTTAGACGAAATTGATTGTTATATTTTAGATCTAAATAATTAATCGTGTCTAATGCAATATATACGATATTTTGTTATTAATAATATAATAATGTACTATTAATGTTTAATTTTTTATTATCTTGTTTAGAATTATAATTATATCATGTTGATTATTAAATTTGTTTATATATATTATGCCATTTAAAAATTAGAAAATATTAATTTATCGTTGGACATGATGTTTCGCGCGCGCTTTGCCCCTGTGACTAGTGCTCATAATACTTATGACTAAAAAAATCACCAAACCCTAATCCCAAATTGACAAATTCTAATTTGCAATTTCTGGCTTAGGCCTGGTGCAGTGGCGACGAACGACGACTGTCTCTGGCGAGTGGAAAGTAGCGACGACCGACGTAGTGGCGACCGGCGGCAGGTGTGTCTTCCACACTTCAGTTCTCCAGCATTTCCGTATTCGTTTTTTCTTAACTTCCACCGGCGGCAGTAGGCCAAAAACAGTCTGCCGGCGTCGTGACTCGCGATGCTGGCTTCCCGCCGCTGCGGCTATGGACTTCGGCCCGCGGGTGCGGCTGTGGGCTCCAGCCTACTGCTGCGGTTGTGGCTATGGCTGTTGTGGGTTCCAGCCTATGGTTGTGACTGCGGGCTGCGGCCAAATGTTGAATTTCAGTTACAAACTGTGGAAGAATAGATTATGAGATTCTGTTTTCTGTTTCTTCTTTGATTTTTATAGATGTGCATGGTTAGTTTTTTAGCTCAAAGCAAAGAAGGATGTTAAAACTCTTGACCTGCTGATGTGATATATATATATATATATATATATATATATATATATATATATATATATATATATATATATATATATATATATATATATATATATATATATATATATATATATATATAAAAGCCTACTTAAAATGGCCCAGGCCTAATTTTCCAAGGCCTAGCCTATTTCAACCCCTACTTTGATGTTGTTTTAGTGATCTTGATTATCCACACTGGTTGATATGGTTCTTGATTTAGTGACCTAGCTTTCATCTTAAAATGGTCTCACTAACTCTACACTGTGTCAGTAATTAAAATTCTAGACTGTAGAGTTATTGAGCCCATTTAACATGTCTATGCAACTTTTCGATGATTTACAATGGGGATTATGTTACAAGGAGTCACATAGGTTAATTGGTGAGTCTATTCTTGCTATCGGAATTAGGTTAGTACTAAGCAAGAGAAGTTCTACCTGAAAAGGAAATGGTTTCTGAATAGTTTAATTTTAGAACCATTATTTTATTTTCATTTATTTAATTTTTAGCCCTTTTATTGAGTTATAATCTTATACTTTGAAAAATTATAGAATGAAATTACAGAAGATGTCACGGATATGGCCGTGGATGAATCTACATCAGTTCAATGCTCTATTGGAGTTGTTTAAGTTCATAAATCTGAACCTTGATAAATGCATTATGTGCATTATTGTGTTGAATTTTTATTCTTAAAATGATGCTATGGTTTAATTGTGGCTTATGGATGTTATTTTATCATTCTATGATTGCTATGCATTGTATGAATTGAATTGATTGATTTTTTTGAATTGAATTGTCAGATTGAATTCTGAATATTTTTTTCTTCAAGTCTTTTCAAAGTTTTATTTTCTTGAAATATTCTTTTCATGGTAATAGGTCTTAACTGGCATAAATAGGCCACCATGTCATGTGTAGTGTACCCAAAACTTGTTTACTAAATGTGTCTATTTTTTTAGTCCATTTATTTAAAAATCGTGTTTGTGCCCGTGTTAGAATCTTAACTACTCGTGCCCATTTTTAGGCTTATCACGTTTGTCATTATCGTGTCAATCTATTAACACAAATTGTCAAGTCTAAGTTGAACTGTTGAAGGCTTGAAAGGATCAATTTTGAAATCAAAGATAAAATTGACAAAACCACCATAGTTAGAGGACCTGAAGTGGAATTAGTCCCAGATAGTCATAAAACATGACTAACAAAATGACTTGACGAAATGAATGGATTGAAAGAAAACCTGATTAAGCTTCAGTGCTTTAGAGTTTAGATGTTTTTGATAGATACTATTGTCAGGCTCAGTCATTTCCATTCCTCTTCCACTTAAAACATTCTCTTCACAAATCAGCTTCAAGCTTATGTTCTTCTTTTCCCATTGTTCCATTTCTTGTGTTATTCTGTGTGACTCTATGTTGATTTATGAATGTCATTGCTCTTTAGATTTTAAGGTTTTGAATTCAAAACCTATTTCCATAAAATGAATCTCAAATTTTTTCACAATTTGTTCTTAAAATAATTAGGCTTCAAAGATAAATGGATGGGTGGTTGCAAAGTTTTGCTTAGCCAATGGTTTTTTCCCGTGTCTTTTCACACTTTTGTAAGGCTCTCTGGATTGTAAGTGTTGGTGCGGAAGAGGTGTTCAATGAAATGCCACCTGTAAGCGTATACTACACAGTTTCGAATGATCTTCGTTTCTAGATTACAGTGTCTAGTAACTTTCTGATATTGTGAGCTTCACTCTCAAAATGGGAAAAATTGTTTCCCTTCTTATTAATGGTCCTAGGTAGGAAACTCTATATTATTGCTTCTCATACCTTTTTACGGTTTCTTTGTTGACATTATTGTATAATCTGACACAGACACGTACTTTGAGGCCCAGAGGTTTTAGTGATACATAAATGTTTGCATTTTGTTGCACTCAATGGTTACACCACACAAGGCAATATTTTGTTTACTTGTCATGGACCTCACAAATCCATGTCTGTGCCTCTAGTTTGAATTAATCTGCTTCCATCATACATTCTACAGTAATGATTGTTTCTAGTTTGCCCTCTTTGTTACTTTTTATTTTCATTTCCTATGAATCTATGATTGCATGCATGATATATGTGTATTCTTTCTATTTTGCCTTCTTTATAACTTTTGACATGCATGATATATGTGTCTACTATTTTGTTTACACATGCATAGCATATCTAATGATAAAACATGTGCTTTTAAAGTGTTCATTCTATTTGCAAGATGATTAGATGGAGTTATAAAAAAAATACAAAATAAAATAATGAACAAGGCAATGAAAAGGAGATATACACAAGTAGAAGCAACTATTCTGAAATTAAGCACAAATGTTTTTGAGATTGTTTTTATTGTTATTTGTTCTTTTGCCATGTTTGATTTTTGGAAAACAACCAGATGTGTTGTGGTTTGAGTTCTGTCACTGCAATGTTATTTCTGTCTCTGTGTTTCTGAATGTTGTTAATCCTCTTGGCTACTATGCTAACTTTTACAACTATTTATGTGAATATATATATATATATATATATATATATGTATAGAATCTGGTTCATATGAGAATCACTACCCAAGTGGGCACCTGCAAACTACTACATAAATGCACACAATCTAATACTCGAAGTGCACATTGCACACAATCTACACCTGGAGTAGATTGTGTGCATTCATGTAGGTTCGCAAGTTCTCACCTAAGGCATTGATTCTCAGTTGATCTTGAATCTATATATATATACGGCTTGGTTCCCATGTGGACGTGGGGTCATGCACCATTAGGTATGCAAGAATGCACCACAACGTGTTCAAAAATGCAACAGAGTGGTGCATTTGTGCATTTCACCCTGATGCATTTCTGAACATGTGGTGCATTTTATTGTATTTGGTTGGATATGATGCATGAAGTTAATTCATTTTCATCGAAATTCAAGTTTTATATGCTTCTTACCTACTCTTAAGGCCCTTGCTATGGAAACAACAATTTGAGGTGTGTTACTAGCTAATTGGTAACCTTTCTCGTGTTCAAATTTCTTTTTGCTTAAACTTATATTTAAAAAGATTGGATTTGTTTATGTTTTCATCAGGACTAATGGCGGGGAAAGTAGTAAAGTCTGTAGCAAAAGCTGTTTCCGAGTACCAATACCCGTTACAAGATAAGTTGGCAAAATACAAGAACGAGCTCTCAAAGGGAGTTTGGGGTTATTGGGAACTTGGAGCATGGAAACCTCTAGGCATCAGTGCTCGTAGACGAGCCCAACTGCGCAAAGAAGTTCTACTTGCTGGACAAGATTGGCCGTACGATCCAGAAAGGAAGGAAATGAGAAAGAAGCAGAAAGGGCATAAGTGTGACAAAATTGCAGCGGAGAAGCGCGCAAAGACAGCTGAACTAATGCAGCAAATGCCTAAAATGTTGGCGGATTATAGGAAGAGAAGATGGGAGAGAAAGATGAAGGCTGAGGAGGATGCTGCTAGAAAAGCAGTGCAAGAGTAAAAGCTCACATCATTTATAGTTTGAAGAAAGATGAAATTGAAGCTTCATTGAATCACCAATTGAGTTAATTTGCTCTTTTTGGCATCTTGTCAAGTGATAAGGAATTACTCCCTCCATCCCAAAAATATTGTTTATTTTGATTGGAGACACAAATTTAAGAGGTTTTGTAAAGTAGGATAATTTAAGATATGATTTTCTAAAATAAGATTGTTTTAAACATACTTTCAAATCATGTATTAGATGTTTTCATTTAGTAAACACTCTTTCATATCATCATTAACATATACATTTGTTACATCATCATAGCAGAGGGAAAGGTAGGGCCGGCAATGGATGCAGTTGCCCTCCTCCCCCCCACTCCGATATAGTACAAGCTTATATATATATATATATATATATATATATATATATATATATATATATATATATAATGTATTTTAACAGTTACCAAACACAAAACCAATGATATAACAATGGTGAAAACTTAACAGCAAGATTGAATCACAAAATACAGTACTTTCAATACATAAATTTGAACCCCAAACTTAATATCCAATCACCCGAGAAGTTTGACCCCGAACTTAAAAGCCAATCACCCAGGTGGAAGAGGTAAATCGCAAGAAGTGTATCAACGGCCTACAGACCTCCAAATGCTTGTATACTAATGCTTAAAGCTAAAGCAAACCTCTAAACTTATTTATAAATGCAAGTACTTCCAAATACATGACACTATTTATCATCAACCACAAAATAAACAAACTTGAGAAGGGAAGATTACTCAGAAACAGTTAGAATTTATATATATAAACTATAGCAAATTATTAGATGCACCTCAGATCATTCTACATCAAACCCTTTCTCCTGGAGTTCAGAGATGACTTCATTCCTCATCCTCATCCACAGCTTGTGGGCTTCCAGCTCTACCTTCTCATCCTGCAATATTTTCTGATAATTATAAGGATCTTTATCATAATCGATAAATCCCTTGGGCCCGATGGTTGTACCAATCATCCCTCCCTTTGCAATGAACTCTTCCATGGCTTCCTCATCGCCCGGATACGGAAACTTCCGGCGCTCATACAGGTGCGCCAGCTCTTTCTCTTCCTTGGGCTTAACTTTCAGCGTCCACCACCCCAATGGAGAAGTCTCATTATACCACCATGCCAAGCCGGCCACTGTGTAGCAGATGAGCAATGCCCTGGTCCATTGATACCAGAAAAAATGGTCCTCCTTTCCTACCCCCGATTTCCTCATGAATCTCTCAGTACTGAATGATTTCAGCATCGCAAAGCCTACAAAATCAGCTCCCCGCAGTTACAGATATGTGTGTTTTGGTTTAGGATTTTCATCAAACACTTGGTGTTCAACCAAGAAAAAACATAAGCGGGATGATTAAGCTTTATAGTGAGCTGAGCTACTAAGATCATCTACAGTCCTGAATGTTTAAAATCAGCAGAGATTGCGCTTACCTGTTTTGGCATCTTGAAATCGCTTGCGAACCATTGCAACGACAGGAGATTTCTTGGTGAATTGAGATGAAAAGTACAGACAAATTCTGCCCCTAATATAAATCCGCAGACCATCAGTGTGGGCCTGTCTGGGTGAAATTTAGAAGTGTCAAACGTGGGGTTTGGGCCGGCTTGGTCCGACCCGTTATTGGTATTTTTTATTTTTTGGTCAAGTTAATTGGCAAATTATGCTTTGCGGGTGCATACGCATGCAAAAATAACGTCGTTTTGCATAAAACGCGCGCCCTACTTTAAAAAATCAGTTTCAATTCCCAACAACAACAGTATGTTATTTATTTTTAGTTCATTCATTTTGGATTTTTTAGTTATGAAATTCTGGAAGTGTAGTTATGCAATTCGATCTGGAAGTGTAGTTATGCAATTATGGATGTGTAGTTATGAAGTTATGGATGTGTAGTTATGCAATTCTGGAATTATAGTTATGCAATTCTGGAAGTGTAGTTATGCAATTTGGAAGTGTAGTTATGCAATTCTGGATGTATAGTTATGAAATTATGGAAGTGTAGTGAAATTATGGATGTGTAGTTATGCAATTCTGATTTTTTTTTTTTTTTTTTTTTTTTAAAGTTAGACGCCAAAACGACGTCGTTTTTGCATCCGTATGCACCATGCATGGTGCATACGGATGCACAGCATAACGCTCCAAGTTAATTGGATCCAAGTAAAGTTTGTATTAAAAATTGAAATTCGGGCCTAATTTTTTGGGATTTTTTTGCGAGTCGCCCGCTGACTAGGGTTCCTGCAACTCTAGCCTGTCCCATGCAGGTTGGCGGGCCCTGCGAATCGGCCAGTAGAGGTTTTATTTATTTATTAATTTTTTTTTTCAAAGTTAAAAAAAATAAGTAAAGTCTATAAATACTAATATTGTGAATTTATAATCTAACTTTAAAAAAAATTAATATTAATTCAAAATTCAAAAAAATAAGTAAAATCTACAAATAATATTAATTTTTTCTTTTTGTGTTTAAAAATAAAAAAATAACATTTTTAATATATATATATATATATATATATATATATATATATATATATATATATATATATATAATGTTACACAGCAAGACAGTGTACTGCCTTGTTGTGTAACATATTACATATATATGTATATTTATATTTTTAAAATAGGGCTTGGCATGCGGCTCGTGGCCCACATCTTGTGCGGGTCTTAGAGGGCCAGGACCGTTTGGCCCGCTATTCGGCTGGTCTTTTGTTTTTTTTTTTTTTTGGTGGTCCTAACTCCCCCCACAGCGGGGTAGGTGCAGGCTAGGCCGCGAACTTCGGCCCACTTTGACAACCCTATTCATAGCTCTAAAAATAAAAAAATAAAAATAATTAGAAATTATTGACTCATTTAAATTATGTTTTCATTCTAAATTACCATTACAAATTTACAGATTTATTTTCATTTATTTAATTTTAAAATTATTACAAGAACATGAAGCAATCAATAATTAATAATGTAATACCATTAATAAGAATAAATTTTAAAATTACAACTGCTAACTACTAAGTTGTAATAGTTTTTTTTTTCAATTAAAACAAATATAAAATTTTACAACTTTAAAATATTTTAAGGTAGTAGTCAATCGAACCTTCACTATTAGAATCGGATTGGAACTGGAATCGAAACCAAAAAAAAATAAAAAAATAAATTTTAATTATTATTTATTATTTGATTAAAGTTTAAACTTTAAATAATATTTTAAAGTTCATAGATAATAATTTTTTTAATAGTTTAACTTTGAAGTTTAAATATTTAATATAACTATTTTAAAAATATTTTAGAATGAAAAATTATCAAATAAAAATAATTTTTGAATTTGAACAATTTTAAAAATACAAAATAAAATTTGCAAACAAAAATAAAAAACATCAGGTTCGAACCGTCGGTTCCTGAATCGGATGTGGAACCTTTATACAAGGTTCGGTTCCAGTTCGACCAATTCTGAAATTGGGAACCGCCGGTTCAAAATCGAAACTGAACCATGAGCATGACTAAGTAGAAGTGGAGAACCAATTAAAAATTAAAATTGGGGATTTTGGGATATATATATATATATATATATATATATATATATATATATATATATATATATATATATATATATAATTGGGAATATATCGTAAATATAAAGATATTTTAGATATAAAATATACTCCATAATATATAATAATTTAATATTAAATACTCCGTATAAATTACTCAGTATATTATTATTATTATTATTATTATTATTATTTTTTTTTTTATTTTTTTTTTTGAAAGTATTATTATTATTATTATTATTATTATACATTTGTATATATGTATAAACAGGTTAGCCCTGAAACATATAGGCTTTTAGGAGCTTATAGCTTATTTTAAGTTACTAATAAGAAGCTCTCTGTTTGGTGATGTACTCAAAATAAGCTAGTTGCTTAAAATAAAAACTTATTTTGAAAAGTTACCTTAGGTATCATTTCAAAAATGAGCTAGGAGCTTCTGAACTTTTTTCCAACTTTATCCTTATTATTTTAAACTAGTATTTTAACTCGTGCGTTGCACGATATAGATTTGTTATAAAATTTTAAAAATAATTGGATCGATATACAAATATAAATTATAATAATGAATATTATATAGTACAGTTGATGAAATGGGTTGTATCGATAATGTTTTCTATGTTATCCTTCTTGAATTCAAGCAAATAATTGCTCAATTACCCGTGCGATGCATGTGCGATACGTGTGCGATGCACGAATAAAAGTTGTTCCAAAAGGCTAAACCCCAACCCCGACGAATAAAAGTAAATAAATACAACAAACCATGTTTAGCTTAATTACCATAATAATTATTAGACAGTTATTATTAGGCAATTATACTAATATCTATACAATTATACTTTTATATCTTAAGTATATTCTTTTTCACCATATCACAATTATTTGTTTCCTCCTCTTTCATATCTGAATAATGAATTAATTGTAATTATTAGAAAAAAATCTAACGACCCATATTTAATTGTAATTATATTAATATCCGTATAATTATTAGCTTAATTAGTGTAGAAAAAATCTCGACCATGTAGCAAGACACAATCTACGGCTAGGTAACTTACGTAGGTAATTGCATCCATCTCGAATGGTGTCGGAGGAGGAACTCTAGTGTCCAAAACCCTAGCAATATTATCTTGAACTATGTACGGAACAACATAGTCGACCACATTCCTTGGCACCCTGTTTTCATTTTTATGAATTGCTTTGTGTCCCGATAGTAGCTTGAGGAGTACTACTCCGAAACTGTACGCATCGCTCTTGGTCGTTAATAGTTGCAACCTGTAATACTCTGGATCCATGTACCCTATCGTACCAGCTGCTCGTAATGAGAGGTGAGACTCATCATCTTGGGGTCCCATTAAGGACAACCCGAAATTGAACACCTTGGCGGTCCATGTGGTGTCCAGCAATATGTTGGACGACTTGATGTCGCGGTGGATGACTTGCGGTACAGCATACTCGTGGAGGTACTCAATCCCTTGGGCAGCATCTAGGGCGACACGAATCCGCGCGGTCCACGACATGAGCGGTGTGCTTTCAAGCTATCATGAAGTGTGTCATTTTTCATGTACTAAAAAACTAGCAATCTCTCATTGCTATCCTCACAATAGCCCAATAGCCTCACTAGGTATTTGTGATGGAGCCTCGACAAAAACTCAAGCTCATTGAGGAAGGCATTGTCCTTGTGCTCCTGCTGGTATTTTGTGCTGCCGTCGTCGGCGTAGGATGAGGAGGCGGAAACCTCAGCCCTCTTGATAGCCACTCTCCGCCCATCTTCCAATATCGCATGGTACACTGACACAAAACTACCTGTCCCAATTCTATGCTCCTTAAAAAATTATATATCACTGTAAAGAAAACTCTTCCAAATGGCCACCATTTCCCATACTTAGCAATTGGCTGAGCCTTTTTTCTAAGACCTGTGTCGAGGCTGCCGCCGCCGCTTCAGGCTGAGTCTCCGTAGCCTGGCCTCTGTGTTCAAAAGTTGCTTCTTCCTCGTCTAACCGGGCGGAATCATGTATTCTTGAGCCTCCTCTAATGGTGCAGTACCTAGAGAAGAGGTAACATATAAGGGCTAATACTCATATCAAAGAACCAGTACATCCCACCACAAGAAATGCCACATGTTCTCAATCCCAACGACTGCGATTTCCACTGGCCAGAGGTGGCGTTGGTAGAACCGACGGCGGCGGCTACAGTGGCGGTTGTGAAGGTGGATTCTTAGTGGAGTTTCAATGAATATTATATAGTACAGTTGATGAAATGGGTTGTATCGATAATGTTTTCTATGTTATCCTTGCTTGAATTCGAGCACATAATTACTCAATTACCCGTGCGATGCACGTGTGATGCGTGTGCGATACGTGTGCGATGCGCGTGCGATGCACGAATAAAAATAAATAAATAAATACAACGACCCATGTTTAGCTTAATTGCCATAATAATCATTAGACAATTATTATTAGGCAATTATACTAATATCTATACAATTATACTTTTATATCTTAAGTATATTCCTTTCCACCATATCACATTTACTTTTTCCCTCTCTTTCATATATGAATGAATTAATTGCAATGATTAGAAAAAAAAAATCTTACGACCCATATTTAATTGTAATTATATTAATATCTGTATAATTATTAGCTTAATTAGTGTAATATTTATTAGTCAATTATACTAATATACCTCGTATATTTAATAATATAAAATAATATAATAATTCCCAGGGGAGCCTTGGTATTAGCTATTCCCATGCTCTTGGAAATAGTTTTTATATTACAAATACCCTTTATATATATATATATATATATATATATATATATATATATATAAACATTCAATATATTATTATTATTATTATTATTATTATTATTATTATTATTGTTGTTGTTGTTGTTGTTGTTGTTATTATATTTTGTATAAGGATATTGATGTCTTTAAAATCTATTCCATTTCTATTCCTTTAACCAACCAAACACTGTAATA